CACTGGAGGGTGGGTTGGGGGGTCTATGGTGGATTTTGGAGTGGCTGCAGCCCTTTCCGTAGCTCCCCTCCCAGCGCTAGAGCCTGGTGCTGCCCTGGTCCCAGCCTGCAATGGCAGCCTGCCTTTGCCCTGTGCACAGATCTGGGGGGTACATGCCCCCCATGCCTCCCTGGAGTATGCACACAGCAGAGAACCCCCTACCTGCACCCCCTGGATGAGCCACTTGTGGCTTGGTCATGTGCCCTGCCCCAGTCCCAGCCCCACTCCCTCCCTCACTGTGGAGGCCTCAATCTGCCCTCCCAAACCCCTTCCCTCCCCTTGCCCCTTCCCCAACAACAGATTTACCAGCTGGATGCTGCTCTCCAAGCTGCCCTGCTGCATATTGGCAATCAGATCAGTATCGGCCAATATGGCTTGTTAAAAATTGGCCATTGGTATCAGCCCCAAACATCCCTATCAGTGCACCCCTAGTTCTGATACACAAATGTGTTGTACAGCCATTAAATTAACCACCGTGCTTTCTTTTAACTGAAAAAGGAAAGATAGTTTGAGGAGTCATTTTCAGTGACTGTTGAAAGGGTGTTACTATGAAAATAGTGACACCTGGATTTAATTTTTTCTTTTATTTTAGGCACTTTTACAGTGAAGGCATTACTTAGCAGTTTATCCTTTTAAGGCAGAAGTTGTAACAGGAGTTGTATTGAAAAGATGCTTGTTGTTTTAAGTGCTCGTGTTTTTCACTTATAACTTCCAGAAACTTGGTATAAAAGTCCTTAGAATACTGTGTCTTCCCCCCCACCTTTCCACCCCAGCACATTTTTTTTGAAAGGAAACTGGTGATATTTAAAATGATTCATGTAAGATCCCTTTAAAAATAGAAGTTATTTAAGTAGCTGTTCTGCAAACTGATGTTAGGAATGGATTCAGGTTTAAAAAAGAAATTTACAAAATACTGCATCTTAACTATGTTTAATACTATATTTTATCACACATTGCATGCTCCCAAATAAGATGCTCCTTGTTTTGGGAAAGCAAAATGAAAAGAAGATGTTTTCAGTCATGATTAGGGACCTACTCAATTTTTTTTTTTTTTTTTGCAACTTTCTGGGAAAAACAGCAGGGTTCAGGTTCTTTTTCTCTCTCTCTCCAGGGAATCACTGGGGGAAAAAACTTATTAAGAATAAAATGCTGGCTCCTAACCTTGCAGCCTGTTGGGGAGAGGAGTGGGGGGGAGAAACCGCCCAATGGGGGTGGGGGGTATGGAGCAGCTAAGATGGTGGCCACTGCCGCCTCCCTCTGCCACTGATTGGCCAAGAAGTTTGCCCCTTGTGCGGCCCCACATCCCTCCACCAATCAGCAACAAGGGGCGGGGCCACACAAGGGGCAGCCCTCCACCAATTGGTGGCAAGGGGCAGAGCCACATTAAAGGCAGCCCTCTTGGCCAGTCAGCGGTGAGGGGTGGGCTCACTGGGGCCCCTCAGCCAATCGCAGGCGTGAGGGGGACCCTGCCATGGTAAGCCCATGAAAGTGGTGGCTGGTGCTGTGATTGGCCCACCAAATTGTCCTTCTGCTTCGATTTGGGTTGGTCCCTAGTCATGACTGAAAGCTGTCTGCATGGACAAACTCTCTTGCCCTTAGCCAACTCATTGGCTCTCTAGGCAGAAGCTCGAATTTTAATCCTCTGGCAGCCAGTTCAGTTGCGGCCGAGAGGGTTAAAACTCTGCCTCTGAGGCTGAAGTGGACTCTGTTTCTCCTGAACAGTGGCTGAAGAGAAGCACAGCACTGAGCAGTAATAACTAGGCTTGGTAGAATTAAACTTTTTATTTTTTTAATATAATTTTGATGGCTACCATCAGTTTTTTTTATCCATTTAACATTTTCAGTATTGTGCATAATGAAGGGGCAGTGTTCATTTTTTATCAATTTAAATGTTCAGGATTGTGTGAAATTAGGGGCCTGGGGGGCAGACAACTTAGTAATGACATGACTGTTAAAAGCTTTATAAAAATCACCAGAAAGTATCCATAAATCAGTATATCCTACCTGCTTTAAATCATTCTGTTCCTTCATCCGGAAAGATCTGGGTAGGCAGGGTCCAGAAGAGGAGGGCAGCAGCACTCCCAGAGTCTGGGAACTTGGGGAGAGGTGATGGTGGTCCCCCCCCTTAGCTGGCCTGGCCTGGCCTGGATCCTGCTGCCGCTGGGCTAGAGCCTTGAATACTCTTCCCTCTTCCCCACTCTGGGCTTGGAGTAGCAGTTTATTTAAGCAGGTTGTTATCTCCCCCCAGCCTGCTTCCCCCACCTATGAAGGAACAGTTGATTTGCTAAACTGCTGAGTCATTAGGCCAGAACCAGCAGCCAATTGCTTAATTGATGAGTCATTAGGCTGCCCATTGTTTCTCTTTAACCCTTCTGGGCTCTCTCCCTCCTTGTCTCTCTTTCCCTACTGTCTAGTAACAGGGGTAAGAGTTCCCTGTTACAGTCCCCTTTCTATAAATTTTGATTATTACTGATTATTATTACCAATTTATTATTACCGTAGTCTGTGAGTATGAGGTATAATTGATGTTTTATCTATAATTATCTAATACTGCCAATCGTAGTCATAACTGTCTACATGCTTCCCTTCTGGCACAGAAATCAGTTTCCCTGCTCAAGGGGCATGGTACCAATTCTGGAGGGCTAATTTTTTGGGGAAATGTGTATATGAGTAAATATGGTATTAAAGTAGTAGGATTTTAGGAAGATTCTGTTGTTGTAGGATGAAATTTCATGCATAGTAAATAAGGTTTAATTGAGGTGTTCTTTGCAACAGGTCAACTTTTACATTTCTTTGTGAAATTTGTATTGGTGAATAACAGACACCACTTTTTATATACCTGCTAGATGCCAGTTTACCTTATAGCAGTTTATTCAGGGATGGCAAATAATTTCTGCTATAGTCATACATGGCTCTATTGATGCAGTCTAGTAGGCTCTGGGTCCTGGGTCAGGGGAAGGTTCATTGCACAACCTGGTGGGACCTGGGCTGAGCCCTTTCAACTGAAAGACTCCGTATAGACCACTAATGGTGTATAAGCCACCTCAACTCCAGCTAGTTATCAAGCCTGCTGACACACATGGGGGGGAAAAAACCCCCAAAATGTACTTTACCAGAAGTAGCACATTAACTCAACCTAGCTCTCCAGCGTCTATGGATCGGGTGCTTCAGTGTAGCTTTTTGGTGCTTTTAGCAAAAAATTGATTCAGTCAGCTGTTACGTAAAAGCACTACTGAAATGCCTGATCTGTGCAGATGTTGGTCAGCTAGCACAATGCCTCTTCTGGGCATGTGCTGGGCTTGACTCGGGAGCACCCAAAGCTTAAAGAAAAGTGTAGGGTTGGGGGGGTGTTACATCTGTAAGTAGCCCAAATGTCCATGGTACTGTCTGTAAATACAGTTCAGGCTCTTCCACTCTGTCAGCATTGGCACACACTGTACAGATAACCTTTATTCCAGTCACTCTGGTGTCTGACTTGGTTTTACAGATGATTCTGGTGCTGACTTTCTTGGTACTTAGTGTTTTCTTAGTAAGAAAGCAAAATATCAGGTAATTTATAACACGTTGTTTGCATGTAAGTTCTGTCATGCATTGTAAGTGGTCTCATCTACTTGACTAGGAATAGAAGGTTAACTACACCATTAGACAAGCAGAAAAAATAATGCTGCTGTAATATATTATTTTCTGTTTCCTGTAAGTATTCCTCTTCACTTCACAATCCGGGTAGTACAGACAGACTGTAAACAAGGGTCCTCTCCAAAAGACCTACATGGTTTTATACAAAGAGTAACCTAATTCTGTGGGGCAGCAGAAGAACATTTCTCACTTGGCTGATTATCTCAATAAGCCCAGTAAAGTCTTGTTCATACATTATACAAGAGAGAAGTGAGAGTGAACATAAAGAGCCACAAGATCTGTTATTTTGAGTGATCTCTGGATTCCTTATTAGGCCAGTGTGGCTCATAACCGTGGTGGACAGGCTGTGCCTAGAAAGTAAAGGGGAAAAAAATGAATTAATGTCTTATGATAGAGGTAGTACCATACCTGGTATAGGCGATGTGTAGGGGGAGCACAGTGGGGACATGTGCCCTCAGCCTTAAAATTGGCCCTTGCTGGCCAGGGAGTGAGGAGCGCCAGCTGGTGCCCCCTAGAGAAGCACCAGTGGCACTTCCAGGTTGCTGCCAGCACTTTTGGGGTTGGTGATCAGCTGCTGGGGGACCCCCCTCCCTGCTGGCAATCAACCACTGGTGCCACCCCAGAGCCAGAGAGCCAGGAGGCATCAGTCACCCATGATACCTGGTGTCTCAAAGAACTCACAAATTCCACCCACAGCATAAGCAGGAAAGCTGAATAATATTATATTACTAGTATATCACTACCATGACAGAAACATGCCTGGCAGCAGATATGGAAAAGAAGAATGACTCCAGACATGTAGCCAGTAAGGCATTGGCCTTCTTCCACTCTTCAGGCACTATACCAGAGCGCCAGGAATTTTCATAGATCCATGCCAGAGGCTGGGCTATGATGCTCACCAGCTCCTTGACTACCCTGGGGTGTAGATTGTCAGGGCTGGCTGACTTGAAGGTATCCAGAGCCTCTCAGGGTGTTCCTTCACGAGGTCAGCATTGATGGAAGGCAGGGGGTCTCCCTCACCCAGACCTCCCTGTCCCGTAGCGGGCATGGGCATCCCATGGGACTGATGAAAGACCAACGCAAAGTACCCATTTTGAAGCTATTTTAAAATTTACAGAGAAAATAAAGCTTGTATTGCAGGAATGCATATTTGAATGGATTTTTCTATGCAAGATAAAAATACTATTTGTAATATGCTTTGAATTGCCAAGTAACTAGAAATCGTAAGCGACTGTTTTTAGCTTTTTGTTTAGGTAGACAGATTTATGTTCCTTCATCTGGTAATTCATAAAGTTAAGTGAAAGTTATCTTTTCTTCTCTTCTAGGAGGCCTACATCAAAAAGAAGGAGGAGATATGGGGAATCTGTATCTTTATTGTAGCAGTTGATCTGGATGAGATAACATTCACTTTTACAGAACTTCTGAAAAGTATAGGTCTAAGGTATGTTTTACTGTGAAAATTGAGGTGCCAGCAATCAAATAATCGGGCAGTGTTTCTACTCTGAGATTACCATGCTTTTTTGTTTTAGTCGGTTTGGACCTACAAATTTATTGTGTAGACTTGAAGTCCGCTGTAGAGGAAGTTTTACCACTTTATTCCAGGGATAAGTTGCACTTTACAACTTCTAGTTCTCCTTTTGTTAATTATGGCAGTATTCATAATTTTGGTCCTGACTCTCTCTCTGGTAGCTGAGGCATTGGTACTAATTTCCTTTGCAGTAAAACAATATGCAGCACTGCAGTATGTTGGTGGATCCTGTACCACTGCTGTGGTTAGGAAAACTTGAGGGAGCTTTTACACAATCTCTTGCTGTAGAGCAAGGGTGTCAGACAGGATCTGACCATAAGTCAGATCCTGCCTGTGGAGCCCTGCCATCTGGCCTCTGGAGCTGCCCTGTGGTTTGAGCAGACCCACAGGGGGCATGGTATGAGTCAGACCAGCCCCAGAAGCAAGATATGGGACGCATTCTGTATACAGCATCCGCCCACATGTATACAGCATCTGCCCCCACCACACCAGGGCTGGACATCTGGGTCCCAGACTGGCTGGAACAGGCGACATCTCTGTTATGGTACAGGAGGAAGGGGTGATCTGTGACCTGATCAAGTCTCCATGTTGAGTCTCCACGTCTGGTATGGGTGACACCACTGTGACCAATCTCCCTAGTTTGCTGGTCTGGTAATCATGATAGGACTGTCTCTCCCTTAGTGGGGACACATTCCTTGGTCCTCATTTCCACCAGCATAGCAGAAAACCTTATGCACTCATCCTCCCTTTGGGCAGCTTGACTGAAGTCAGAAATCCCGAAGCAGAACTGGTCAGTGGGATTTGGAAGAGATGTAGACGTCATAGGATACCAGGTGGGATGAACCTCTGACTTCCCTGTATTACCTTGCCCTACTGACCTCTGAGGATGTTCACCACCAGAAAGTTGGTATCCTCTGCCTCTTGGCCCTTCACTCTTTGCAGAGAAGCTCAACCTTTACAGAAATTTCTGCTCCACTGACAATTGGTATAGAGGCAAGAAGTGAAAAGAGGAAAGAAACCATATTTGTCAACACTTTATTAAATGGGATAAAATATTCAGAAACAAAACTAAGGTGTTTGTGGCATTTTCTGACAAAGGCTGACTTATACTTACTCAGAGTTTATCCAAGCTTGCATATGGTTATAACATTTGAAACCACTTCCAAGTGTAATAGGCTTGGAAACATTTACAAAATGTAGCATTTCAGCCATCAGACATACAGCCCTGGTCATGTCCCACAGCTGGAGTGCTTCACAGTATCTGTGGCTGTATGCAGTGGCATGCTCTCTAGCCAGGGAGTACTGCAGTACACTGCAGTTCTGCTCCCTGGCCCTCTCCAGAGCCCCCATCTCAAGGGGCTGTTTCTGCTCCCTTCAGCAGGTACTATTTTGGAGCACTTTGCCTATTTATAGAGCACTTCAAAGGTATTTGAAATTTTTCAAACGTGACATCTGTCTGCACCCCAAGTGTGTATCTTATGCAGTCACAACTTGTTACAGTTGATGCTAGTTTTGGGAGTACTGTCTTTCAGTCACTGTTCAAGTAAAACTCATACCCCATTCGAAGCTTGTCATCAACTGCGTGGTAGTCATCATGAATGCAATCTGTGGATACTCACTTGGAACAGATACCCTGTGGTAATTGAGGACTTTTAAAATGTATTCTCCACACAGGTTCCATAACCTGCCCTCCCCCCTGCCAGTTAATGTGAAGTCTTGCTCCTGTGGCTTCTTGTATTGAAAAGGAAATGCAGTTAAACTTACTCTGCTCATTTTGCCACTTGTTTGCAGTGTCTTTAATGTATCTGCATCTCATACAGTCCCAGTAGGATGCTGTTAGCCAAAAGAAATGTGATCTTCAGTATTGGGATAGGTTGGTAACAAGAGAATGTAATTCTATAAAACTACTTTTGTAGAATTACAGTTACTTTCTAGACTTTTACCTATTTTTCTTTAAAAAAATAAATGTTCTTTGTCATTCTTCCTCCTTGCAGTGCATGTACATTTTTTCAGTTGTTGAAGCAAATGGATAGTAACATGGATACCATAAGCACTAATGTTGATAGTACTGTGTCACGACTACAGAAGAAATATGAAGTATTACTTGCACTATATCGCAAGTTTGAAAGGTAATGTGCATTTTTCTCCTTTAATTTGAATTGATGCATTCTTTGGTAGTCCATATTTATTTATTTAAATTTCTAAAATACAGATACTTGGAGTGACCATCTTAAATTCTGAATATACTTCCTAGTTTTTACGTATCAGCTAACTGAGCACTTAACACTTATTCAGACATTCATAATTCATATTCACCCCTTAAATATTATGGTGTGTTACTTAAACCCCATTGTGGTTGCTGTTTTTTTTTTTTTTTAATTGCTATGGCAAATGGGTCCATAGCCTGTTGTGCTAGGCCATTCACATCTCTCTTTCTCCAACAACCAAAGAGATATTGTAGGTTTCCTCCATTTAATCTTTTTTTGCTTTTCCTTCCATTTATTTCTCCTTTCCCTTCTATTTTACTATTCCTTCCTCTCCCCTTCAAATTGTATTGCATCCACATTCAAGTTTGAGGAACCTGTAATAGACTTTGTACAAAAATACCACACACAAAACAGCAGTCCAAATATGTGAGGAAAATGTTGAGTTATGAGCATGTCTGTAAAACAAACGAACCCTGGGCTTTAGATTTGGAGAATCTGTCTCCCAGGAGTTGAGAGTACTAATGGAGAATAGTTTGCTATCATCTCGTGTCTGAGGGTGAGCAATTTTGAATGTCTTGCCTGATCATGCATACGGGAGTGTAATATGAGGAGACAGCAGGCTTGCATAACCCAGATCAACTAGGTGAGGACAACACCCCGCCACGAGTGCAGTAGACTAGAGCTTTCTGTGCGTCCGTTAACAAATGATGGAAAAAATAGTGGTACAACTTAAGGGATGATTCAGCACAGTTGATAATTCTTCAAAGATAAGGGTGTGTGTGTGTGTGTGTGTGTGTGTGTGTGTGTGTGTGTGTGTGTGTGTGTGTGTGTGTGTGTGTGTGTGTGTGTGTGTGTGTGTGTGTGTGTGTAATTGGGCAGGAGTGAACTCTCCTTAAAATTTGTGACGTGCTGACGTGCATGTGCTTCATTGCTATTACTTCAGCATCTCTTGTAATGCTTAGTTTCTTGTTTAACTGCATTCAGTGAAGTTTTTTCTGTAAAGCAGCTCTCCATGGGTATGTAAAAGTATTCAGCATGGATGGGAGAGTTTCATAAAGCTTATGGGATTATCAGTTTTGTTTCACAGTCCCAAGGTATTTTACAGCTGTGCAACTTTGCACCATTGTATTTTTGTGTCAGTGCATTCAGAACTGTCAAAGGGCCTAGATATGTCATTCATTAACCCTTCATGTGAGTGATATTGATTATAGTCAGCTGTCACAACCCAGATGCTGAAGTAAAGTGATGTGAAGGTAGAGGTACTAATTAACCGTAAGCATTTTCCATCCTAATACATGCTTTTGAAGATGGTAGCTATGAAGTTCAGACATTATGAAGTGGCTGCCTACAGACTGATTTCCAGCTCCTGTTTGTTCTGTCTTGTACCAGTCATGTTACTGCTTCTGCTAGCATTTCTATATATTCAGAAACTATTCTTTTTTTGGTTGCTTAGCAACAGGCCCTTTTTTTTTCCCTTGTTGCATTGACACTCAGCCATATCAAGGAGCGCAGTATGTTTAGTCTTCTCACTTCCTTAAATAGGCAACAGTGTCAATTCATTCTTTATTCTTGAAATCTAACCCAGTTAATTGTAGTATTTTGGGCTGTAGGGATCTCAGTAATGTTTTTAGAATACTGAATCCCTGAAGTGTCCTGAAAGTCTTAATATATTATTTGTACCTACTATAGCTCTTTATGGACTATATAGCCATCACTCTCTTACTTAAGTCCACATCTTTTAAATATGCATTCTTTCCTAATCTTACCCTTTAATAGTTAGGTGGTATTTGTCCCTACTTTATGGGGTTTTTTGTGTGTTATTTTTTGAGGGACGGGGCAGGGAGGTGTTCACATGGCATTACAAAAGAAGGGACTGTCAAACAAATTACAAAAACTTTAGAACAGTGTAACCAATATAGGGTTCTCAGAAAATGAGTCTAACTTAAATGCTATGATTTTTAAAATCTTGTCATCTTGATTTCTGGACCCTTAGCCTTTAGTTTACCCTTCAGCTACATTTAAAGTTGTCCATTCTTCAACCAGGACTTTTTAACTCCACATGCCTGTGATTCTTTCTTCCTAAAGAAGGAGCATCAGGTACTGAGAGACATGCAGTAAAATGAGGTGGCAATAGTGAAGCGGTGACGGCTTTGAGACTGCTTTAAGATACTGTTTCACATAGTAGCAAATTATGATGCTACAGTCTTTGCTGTATCTTTACAAGCCACTGAGAGAAGTGAATCCTGGGGTTTTGGGGGGAGAAAAACCATCACAATTTATTTACACCTAGTTTAAAATGCTTTATTACATAAATGTAAGCATTCAAACAGTAACAGCTTCTTGTAACTCAACTGTAGTTAAAAGCAGTCGTTGAGTCTGACATTAGTTGTGATTCTCAAAAGGGAGATAAACAATAGTTTCTGTGAATAGTGGACATTTTGAGAGACAGCAAGGGTTTTAGATTAGCTGAACCAAAGGATACTACACAATTTAAAAAAATTTTATATATCTTTTATGAGTCAGTTCAATGTTGTTTTTTGTTTTTTTTTTTTTTAGGATTTGTGGACTTATTTATGTGGCACAGCCTAATAATCAGTAAGCTTGACTTTCTTGATTACATAAAATATAAAACTATACCTAAAAATTAAGATTCAAAATATGTTTTAGTGTTTTATTTGTCTGACTGCTAAGACTGGTAACACCAACAGATCCAGTAAGTATATTATGGTTAATAAATGTGCTTGGTCAGGTGTTTTGTGCTCCCTGAATGACTTCACCTTGATATGGAGGGAACAAACATTTGAAGGATAGACTTTATGATTGTAGCATCACATAAAGAATGAGAAGATGCTGGCACAACTCCCAAAGCGAGCTATTCAATAAATACTGTAACTGGTGAATAGAGCCTGAGTCAGAAATGTGAGTGAGAGAGTTGCTTGAACAATTGAATACATTGCTGCATTCACTTTCTTTGTATAATGTAAGTAACACGTATACTTCTTTGAAAAGGAAAAAAAAAAAGTATCTAATCTTTCCATTTCAAAATTTGCTGTGTTAATTTCATGAGGAATGCATTGAGATTATCAATATACTTTTTAAAATATCTAATGCTTGTTGCCCTAAATGAATACATTCATGGACCTGAGTAAACTCTGTGGACTAGGTTCAAAATTGAAGAACTGTTATGTGAAATGTTCACTACCTCGTTTCTGTGGTTGATTTACAGAATTTCTGATGAACTCAATTCCATGTTAGTTCAAAAGATTTCTTGGATCACTTTTTTGTTGGCTAAAGGTAAGTTGTGATTATTATCGTATTGTTTTCATGGTTTCATTGGAGAAAATTTATGGATTTCAGTTTTATATCTCCAATATGAGAAACATCCTGGTTACAGATATCATAATGAGATCCCATAATCTTCTATGATTCCATAGTCTTGTAGAAATTTGCTGACTCTTCTGTAATTTTGGTGAACTTTGTCTGGCATTGGGGACTGCAAAATGTTGTAGTACTCAGGATATTTTTTGTCATCTAGAAAGCTCCTGTTCTGTAATTTGGTCCTATCTTCTTGGTAGGAAGTTGGCAAGAACTTGGCAGCATTTATATTTCAAATAGGCCTGGAAGGTTCCCTTTAGCAATGGTTAGGGCTCATGTTAAGGATAAGTGACAAAAGCCATATTGTTATAATTGTATGGTCTTATAAGGCTTCACTAGAACAGAAGTGCTCAACCTCTGTCCTGTGGCACTGTCATCCAACCTGTGGAGCTTCCCATGGGTCATAAATTCAGCAGTGGAAGCAGATGGGACCAGGTGGGGGTAGTCTGAGCTGCAAGGCCTAATCCTGGGGGGGGGGGGGGAGAAGTCCTGGCACATGGGGCAGGGTGGTGTTGTGCTCCATGGTCTAATCTGGCCCACCGATGGCTTGATCCAGCCCACAGACTGACTGTGCCCCTGGTCTGTGGGGTAAAAGGTTGAGCACCACTGATCTGGTAAGGAATTCATCAAAAAATCTGCTAGCACTAGTCCAGCTTGCATCAGTAAGAGACCAAATGGAGACAGTGCTCTTGTGTCTTCTGGTATGCTTACAGATGTATCAATTGAGCCTACTTAGGAGCAGCTGAACCAGTGAAAATTCTTTGTTAAAATTCTCTAGCATAAAAATACATGAAATTTGATGGGTTCTTTAGCTTTACCCCTTTATTGAATTAAAGCAATGAGAAGGAGCTAGTACTCTTCCAGCATATGCCTTCATAGATATTTAGGCCAGGTTTTGGCAGCTTGCAGCTGTGGAGCTACTGGAGCTGGTCGGCTCTACCTCCTAGCTGTGGTCTGACATGGGCAGGTAGTTTTGGCAATGCATCTGCAGTAAGGAACTTTTCTTGCACTTGTGCTGGGGCCAGACAGCTGGGAACACAGCATTGTCACTTCCCCTTGCTCCCTGGATGCGGCATGTGTGCAGTTTTCAGCCTGTAGGGCGCTGCACCAGGGCTCACACTGCTACAAACAGCATCTGTACTGCTGCCACTTCCCCTCACACCTTGGCTGCAGTATGGAAGCAGCTTCCAGCTGGTGGTGAGCTGCTCTGGGGCTGGGCAGGTTGCAGCTGGCTGTGCAGCAGTCACGGGGAAGAAGGGGAACAGGTAGAAGCTACAGCAGCACCACAATCTGCAGATACCTGGTCCCAGTGCAGCTCCCCACCAGCTGGAAGCTGCATCTCTGCCATAGCTGAATGGTGGGAAGGGGCTGAAAAATGTGGCAGTCCTGTTGCAGCTTTCAGTGTTCAGAGGCTAGGAAGTCCTGACTTTGAGGCTGCATCCCTATCTACCACTTTCAGTACATACTGAAGGACTTTTTCTCCAAGAATATTCAATCCCCTCTTAAATTAGGTTAAGTTGTCATGCTTCACACCATTTTGTGGCAATGAGTTCCATAAGTTAATTGCTGGAGGTGCCCCCATTGCTGTATTTGGACCTGCGGGGAGTCCCACAGGTTGGATGACAGTGTGCATGCTGGATCACTCTGGTGCTTGGGGCCTAGTGGTGGCCCAAAGATTGAGCCCTACTGGTTTAAATGCATCAAACTTCAAAGATGTTCATGATCTAGGTTCTAGGTGATGTTTTTTAGAATCCAGTCATAGGGGTTTTTAAATTAAGTATTTAAGTCCTTCTGTCTATTTAAAACTCCCAGCATTGGCTCAAAGCTTTTTACATTTTTCAGGAAAAGTGTTACAGATGGAAGATGACCTGGTGATCTCTTTCCAGTTATTGCTGTGTGTTCTCGATTATTTTATCAAACTTGCACCACCAGCATTGCTCAAGGAACCATACAGTAAGGGTTTTAATCTTGTGTTCATAACCTTGACTCATTTCTGAGCTTTAACATAAGTTCCTGGTAGGGCTTAAATAGTATCCACAATGAACATAGTAAATATTTTTAAGTATGTTAGGATAGAATAGTTATATTTAAATTTTGATTAGATTAATTGATGGAGCAGTTTGTGACCAAAGTCTTTAAGTACTCGTTTATCCCTATTCCTGTTTTCTTGTCACCAGGGGCATATCTTAATAAGCGGGGAGCATTGAACAGGCACTCGCACAGTTTGAGGGGGCCTAGTCCTGCACAGGAATTTCTGGGGTATGCAGAACCAGTCCCCTCAAGCTCTGGGATATCGTGTTGTTTGTTGTCCAGCAGCATCAGTGGGTGATACGTTTCAACCACTGAGTTGGATCAGTTGTGCTGGGACACATCCCAGCATAGGCGATCCACTTCATTTGATGACATCTGTTTCTACTCCAACTGCAGTACCGTTCCATTCCAGTCAAGTCCTGAAAAACTGTTAATGGATTAATGTTTGTAACATGCCTTCATGTTAGCCTTAAGATTAGAGTCACTAAAAGCTTTAAGGATGAGGAAGATACACCCATCTTTTTCTGTTACCAGTTTTTCAAGGATTCAGGCAAGGCAGAATTTCAGCTGAGGCCCTTGAGTGCAGCTTACATGGCTTTAGAGGTGAAATAAAATTTAGGATAAGTTGTTCAAAGATTTATTTAGGCTTGTATCATATTAATGGGGATTCTGTATGATGTAGCACCCTTTTATGACAGAAGTGGGTTTTTTATTATTGTTATTCTGCGAGGTGAAATTTTTAGGTACTCTTCTTTAAAAGGTTTTTAAAATGCACCATAGTTCAGTGTACTTTCTTTCAGTTCGCATTGTTAAAAAAATCTGCTTTTAATTCTTTGGTAATTCTAACTGTCCTTACAGAATCTGCTGTGAATACAGTATCTATTAATGGCTCAACTCGAACTCCAAGGCGAGGTCAGAACAGGAGCACGCGTACATCAAAGCAAACTGAGACAGACACAAAAGTTATTGAAGTCCTTTGTAAGGAACACGATTGTAATTTAGATGAGGTAACACTTTTGCTTTTTAAAGGGTACAGTCTTAGATCTTGTTATAACATGTGTATTGCCTGTAACCTAGTTGCATTCCCCTGCTCACCCCCATCCCTCTATTGTTAGTCCCTCGCTCGGGTGCTCTGTATTTCCATATCAGCTTTGTCATCTTTTTTCTGGATTCCCGATCCTAAACAGCTTCTAATATTATATTCAATATCAGCTAAAAGTAGCTTAAACAGAAGTTAGAGGTACTTTTAAATTAGAGGTGATCATCATCTATTTAAATTTTACTGCTGGAGGTGGTGTGCCATTCCCAATCTTCTTTATTTATTCAACACCTTCTTCTTTTGTGATATTACAGTAGTGGCCTTTGAGGTATATGCTGATCAAAGCATGTAAGAAAGAGGTGATTATGAATATCTCCACAGTCTGTTTTGAGCGGAAGCCTTGGTGGTAAGGCTTGTAAGGGTGCCATTATTTCTTTCATAGTTCAGAAAGCTCTATATACCTGCACATATAATTTAGTAATTAAAAAATTTTAGTGGTCGAGACAAGTTCAGACATTTTTCTCTAAAATAAACAGTTAAGTAGTAGTTCTGGTGCAAGCTGTTTCCACCACTCCCAGAAGTGTGTTGCAGACTGAATCAGGAATCCACCCCACATGGAAATGTGCAGTAGAATCTGTCAATCCAGGATTGGTTTTCAGCCACCTTTGGACTGACAGATGCAAAAGTCATGAAAGACAGTCATCCTCAACAGCGAGGGATTGCTGCTGCTGCTGATGTCCTGGTAACTTAAGAATGACTCCTCACTGTCAGCCCTGCTTTAATATGTTTAACAGCAGTGTCTGTTTTGGTATCATTGTACATTAGTAATATTATACCTCTCTACTTTTTCTAGGTCAAAAATGTGTATTTCACAAGCTTCATTCCATTCTTGAATTCTGTTGGTATTGTAGCTTCAAATGGACTCCCAGAGGTAATTTAGAGTAATTTAAGACCGTTAAACAAATACTCTGCACTTCTGAAAACCTAAAACATTTAGCTTGAACATCCTTTATGTGCCAAAATTCTAGTGTCATCTTTAGTAGATATCTAACAAAACAGGCTCTTTAAAAGAAAATGGGATTTCCAAGACACTTGATAGATTTTCCTCCCCCCTCCTCTTCCTGTTCCCCCTGCTTCTTAACATCATGGGTTTTCTTAACACGATGTCTTAACATACTCTCTTAAATCATAGAACAATTGTCGTGAGGCAGCTTTTGAATTTACAACATGCCTTTTTTTAGGTGAGTTCTCTTTTTTGGATAGTTTAGGAGTAGTAAGTCTTTCAAATGTGCAGGAGTTTAGAATAGAGGAGACTTGACTTGTCCTCCAGCCCTGTGATTCTATGGTATTTATTTTTCTGAATAAAATGTTATATAAACTTCCCAGGAATTGCATTCATTACTCTTGTGAAAACAAAATATAGTCAAGGTTAAACGAAGATGTGCACCTCTCATTGCAGTGAGGTATGAATTACTGCAAATGAAAAAGTCACAAAATCAAGTGTTCCACCTGTAAAATAAGAAAATAAATGCCTTCTCAAGTTAAATTTAACCAAATGTAGGAATTTCAGCTTTTTTGCTGTAGTAAAAATATCCTAAAGATTTAGATGGTGTTTTACAGGCAATAAAGATATAGCCTGTTGTATCCTTGCAGAGCTCTTTTCGCTTTGGACCTTTGTAAGGATGCTGCAGTATACTTGCCTGCAGTCACTTGGAGGATTGGACCTAAAGAAGTAACCTTTTCTGAAATATAAAATGTATTAGCTTGTCATCTTGAAAATCAGATTAAGATGACTTTGGCGAATCAATACAAAATTAAGCGTACTATTTTGAGTCCATGTTAAAGCTGGTAACTTGGAAAAAGTTGATATCTACTGAAGCAAAGTGGACCTAAATCTGTGTTTAAAATGCATAAAGGTTTCCAGTATTAAAGTAATTGTGAATTTTTTATTTAGGCATTTAACATGGCCGAAAGAAATTCCCCAAATACAAGTCCTGTCACAGGCAGTTGTTGTTGTTGTTGTTGTCCTGCATGTTAAATCAGCTACAGTCTTGATGATCTTTAACAATTGGTCCCAAACCATGAAAAATCAACCTTTTCAGCTCCCTTGGTTAGAGACAAAGTAAGCAGAATACATAGTTCCTAACTGTGAGATCAGTAAGGCCTCCCTACCAGTACAACACAGTTTAACCACTGCTGGTCCTACATAAACCTCACATAGAAACCTACATCAAAACCACCACCTGAGAATTGTTGTCTCCTGAACTCTTGTGGGTGGGAATTGAAGGCCCAGGGCCCTAGCGTTCTTTCCCTTGAAATAAGTAATTCAGGAGATATCCCAGAACAATACAACTATAAACAATTATAGGCTGTGGTCAAATGTAGTCTATGTTTAAAAAAAAAAAAAAAAAATCTTTTGTTACATCTGAACTATGTTCAGCCTTTAGTTATGGTCAGCACAACAGGATCTAGCAGCATGGATCATTTTGTTTTACTTTATGGAACTGAACTTTTTTCATTTAACATTTGTTTTAATTTTCTTTTTAAAATGAAGAAAAACTTCCTGTACTTTTAAATTGCATTTATATTGTCCACTTTGCTGCATTTGACATTCATTGTTTATGCTGTATGTGGGAGTTACCGGTAAACTGAAACAATTATTGCTGCTGTTTTCAATTGAAGACCTGTGGGCTAAAACAGCAGCAACAGCGTAGTTTGTAAGGGCTGTTCCTTTTGTAGTGGAAGAATTCCTCTAAAAAAACCCAAACAAATACAAACTGTGAGTTTCTGGAAACTTGTGCAAAAGGTCACATTTTGAACAAATTACAAACATGTATGGAAAGAAAGTTATGTAATAGAACTCAGATTTTTTTTCATTATTTTGAGTAAACCTGTTAAGAGATGGCATCATAGCTCCACTCAGGACAGGAACAAATAATAATTGTGGCTCCAGGACACCTGTACAGTTTTCTGATTCTGGCATTGGCTGGAGCTATTTTAACCTTGGCTGCAATTTAGAGTAATCTGTCTGTTACGCTATCGGGGGATTACGAGAGTACTGCAGCACTCAGGCACACTTCCTGCTACAAAAGGTATAAAAGAGGGTATTTTGGGCAACAGGATGTATTGCTCGTGGAAGACAGGTGTTTGTGATCCTAGAGTAGTTTGTTAGGAATATTATAAATTATGTTATAATGCAGAAACAAATCTTTCTCACCTACAACAGGATCACAGTAGTGTTCATTTATCCAGTAATAAAGCTTTTCAGTATCTTTTTGAGGTTGAGACTCTCTCAAGGCAATATGAAGAGGTTTACCTGAAAAACAAAGACATAGATGCGAGATTATTTCTGGACCATGATGAAACTCTACAGCCTGATCGCATAGACGGGTAAAATTTTTTATGAATTTCTATTCTTTTTTTTGTTTTAATTTCCATATTACAGCAGAAAAAATGAAACCTCTCTTGAGCTCTCTTTTTTCCCTTCCAGATGGGAAAAATAAGGTCCTTCTGGTCTGAAAATCCTTATGCTTTTAAACATCACCTTTTAAGATATGTTAATGTACTTTTAAACGTTACTGTCTTACTCTTTGAGTGCCAAGTGGAATTTAAAAGCGAGTTAACACATACTAGCTAACAATCCCATTCATTGTATTAGTTCAGGGGTGTCAAAGCTTGTGGAGCTATATCATCTGGCCTCTGGTACTGCCTGTGGGTTTCAGTTGACCCATATGCAGCATGAGGTGCATACTGGATAGCTCTGCATGTAGTGCCTGCTCCAAGATCATGCTGCATGTGTTGCCCACTCCAGCCACTTGGGAATTGTCCATCCACTTCATCCCAGATCTAGTGCAAGTCCCAGAACAGGTGCCACAATAAGTGTGGTGCATGTTCTGGTTGCTCCAGGATGCACACTGGATCCAGCATGGAACATACACCGAATATAGGTGCCACATGCATTGTGATCTTATGCTGGCCCCTCTGGGATGCTTGTGGTATGTAATGCCAACTCTGGGACATGCTAGATCTGACATGTGAAGCCAGTTTATGGGCCCCGTCTGGTCCAGGTACATATAGACACTTGGATTTAAAGCAAAAATTAAGAAATTGAGGTAAGAGAATTTTTAGTGCACTCAAAATTTAAAATGATTTTCTTTGGCCTTGTCTGGGCTAGAAAAATGTAGTAGTGGACTAAAAATGGACTAAAAGTCAATAGAGTAAAGCTAGGACAAACTCTTAATATAGCTGCACATGAAGAATATTAATGAGAGCTGCTGGATACTGAACATATATGAAAATCTGTCCCATGGCTTTTTTTCTGCTGCTTTAATATGTCTATTTAGAAAATGTGGATTTGCTATATTGAAACTCCAATACTTCATTGTGTTTTATTTTCCCTGTCTGTAGATGCTTACAGTTGGAGAGAACACCAAGGAAAAGTAACCCAGATGAAGAATTCAATCTCATACTTCCGCAGACTCCAGTTCGGTATGAAGCATTCAGAAATATGTATTTTATCTTAATTTTTTCAAAAATATTCAGCTCCAAAAGGTAGGTAGTATTGTTTTAGAGTAGTATTAGTTAGCTGTGCTAGATGCATTTTTATAGACTAACTGGATGCATCTCTGTTTCAGTTAGCTGATGAGGTCGATCTCAACTATGCCTTTGGTTTTAAAGTAATACCACTTGTAAAACCAAAGGTCCTAATCTGGGTGACAGTGGGTGCATCTACACAAGATGCTTTACTGTGCATAAGACTAATTTGATGTGCAGTTAAGCATAACTGTCTACACATATGCAGCAATTACCATGCAGCAGATTAGTCTAATGCCTATGTTCTAGTACCTGTAAATACAGGTACTAGAAATTGGAACATTAAAGTAATGCAGCAAAGCGCACTGGTTGATGCTGACCAGGAGCAAATTGCTCCCAGTCAGCCTAGGCAGCAGAAGCCCACAGAGGGCAGGGAGACCTGCCTTGGCTTAGCAGGATGCTGCCTCCCAGCCACATGGAAATTGGCCCCTGTTCTCTATGTGGCTGGGAAGCAGCTTTCCAGCAGCTGAGACAGCTCTCCCCTACCTTGGGGAGATCAGGGCTAATCTCTGTATTCCCTGCCAGCCCAAGGCTAGTACCTGGAGGAGCCAGGAGCTCCCCCTGGCTGCTGCAGGGGAGCAGGGCAGGAGCAGCTCCTGTGGGGAGAAAATTTGCTCCCAATGGGCGCATGTTAAGTTGTGTGGGGTCCCAGTTTAATGCACCTGAATTTTCTGTGCAGAAAATTCAGGTGCATTAATTGCACATATAGATGCACCCAGTATGTAGACAGCATTCAGCATACTTCTGATGTGTGAAAACCAACAACTTCCCATGTAAATGAGCTGCTTGTTACTTTTATGTATATAAAGAGTACTGTAACTAGGATTCATATTTTTTTTTTTTTTGCCTTCTGTAGGACAAGCTCCTCGCATGCACCTTGAACTTCTCTATGTACCTTCATGCCCTTACATGCTCCCTGTGTGCTATTACCCCATGTCTTACCATCTCAGAAGCCCCCAACAATTCCCTCACCCTCTTCATGCTCGGGGTGCTATGTATTTCACCAGTCACTTTAACCTCAGTGTTTCCCATTTTACTCTGGGGCAGTAGCTGTTTCACTTATTCCTACTTTCTGTCTGGCCAGGGGTTCTGCATGCCCCATTCTCCTTTCATACTAGAGCATTTCTGTGTTTTTGTTTTTGTTTTTTTTTTTCTTCCTCCTTGTACCTGGTTGGCTTCGTGCAGCTGTTCCCTGGCCTCCTTGGAGCGTGCGCCAGGGGTCAGCCACAGAGGCTGCTCCAGTAATCTTAATGCCAGGTCATGTTCTCCCCGAGGGGAACCCTGCCACGACTTGGATCTCCCATTCAGGGGTGGGGCTCCTTCTGGTTGCTCCTCACAGATCAGGCATCACTCTGAGTGAGTATTCTTGGGGCTCTGCCTCCCCTACACCCCAACCATGCGCCAGCCTCTCGGGACAGCCAACCGATGGTCAGCCAGCCTGCCCTCCAGTGTTGCCTCCTGGGTCCTCCCTGTCTACCAGGCTCCAGGTGTTCTTGCTCCACCTAGATGCCTTCAGGCGTAGGACGGTCACTGATGGTGCGCCGCCGTCCTTGATGCTGCCCTGGCTTGCTTGATCTTATGAACGTTGCTCTTGGCCCTTCTTGTCCTAGGGCTCAGGGAAAATTAAAGAAAAGGGAACAACTAACTGAAACGAAGAAGAAAAAGAAGAGGAAAGGCTCAACCCGCCCCACTCATGACTCTGGCATCGATGGACCACAGGTCCACAGGCACGGTCCTTCCCGGACCATCTCGTCACCATCCAGGGTCGCATTTCTTTAATCATCTTTGGACCCTGCCCGTGGGTTCCTCCTCAGCTTCTCTCTCCCTGGCCTCTGCCAGGTCTCTGCCGGGCTTGCCCAGCTCAGGGGACGACTCTGCAGCCAGTTCCCTGCACTGTCCCCGCAGCTGTTCCCCCGCCGCTGGCTTCTATTTCTGCCATGTGGCGTTTTCCTGTGACGTCATCTTCTCACGCCATTCCCAGCCACAGATAAAAGCGGATGATGAATTGCATGGGCGTCCTGTCTTGGTGCGGCTTGTCAGGCCTGCCTGTTTCTGGAATGGATAAGTAAGCCCTGTTTTCAAGACTTTTTCCTTTTCTGTGTTCGCGGGTTGTTTCTGCCCTGGTCCCCGCCACGGGAGGGGTTTCCCGTTCTTTTCCTTTTGTTCCCTTGGGATACCCCTCCACACTCCCTTCCTAACAATTGTTTTCTTTTTATTTGGGAGCTGAGTCATTTAGGATGTTAACATATTCAGCTCTTTTAAGGAGGAACAGAGATGATAGAAGTGTATCATTAACTAGAATGTATTAATAGGTGGCACCAACAGATACTTTAATTTGAAGACGGAGAAATGCTTTTCACCAGAATTGGGAGCATTTTGTCCAGTGATGTCCAGAACATTCCTGGACATTTTAGAATTGATTGGATGCATCTTTTAAGTTTTGCACAGGCACAAAATTTGAGTGAGGGTCCTCATAAGTTTTGTCAATAAAATGCTTTCTTCTGTGCTTGCTGTGCAAAGATTTTTTTTTGACTTTACAATAGCAAAAACTCTAGTACCTTCATTTGTCATTTCTGTTTTCCCATACTGGGAAAGTATGACAAAATTGTACAAACTCTGTGAAAGCTAAAACATAAGAACAATGGAAAAAACATAACTATGAACCCTCTAGGCTTCCATATCCACAAAAAAATTTATCAGCTGGATTCTAATAGCAGATGTTAGAGGGTTTCTAACCACTGTATTAGAGCAGTGTGGATTTGGACCAGCTTCCAGTAGTAGTGGAGAGAGAGGGTACCTATACACAAGCAGTGAGGCTGCTCCAATGCATTGTAATTACAGTGCATTGGAGCAGAATCAATTAACTGAGTCTGAGTCTGCTCCAGCGTTTCATGTATTGGCATTGCCACGCTTCAAAATGGCAGTGGGGGGGGTGCTTTATTTAAAGCTTGTTGAACGAGCTTTTGATGAAGCACCCCTACTGCTGTCTTGAACTGCAGGGACGCTGACACACAAGATGCTCTGGGCACTTTAATTTCAGCAGTTTTTGGAGCCATTCTAATTAAGCCTCCCCCGCCTGCCCCCTCCTAGCATGTGTATAAACATCCAAACAGACTAACATTTCTTAGGTGGAGTTTGTTTAGCTCTTGAAAAAGATTGTATGGCATGACTGCCAGGGACTTCCAGTTCTGTGTTCTGAATTTTTTTTATTACTGGTGTTTATTTTCTAGCTTGAAAAAATTTCTGTCCTCGGGTCTTAATTTGCAGTGCCGGGGGTTGGATTACTAGGGAAGCAATCAATGAATTGTAGGATGTCATTTTTATACCTGCTTTTCAGATTACAATAGCATTTAAAAGCACAATGCCTGTATAAAGTGATACATTTTCCATGCATGATACTCAAATCTTTTACCCTCAGAAGCTAATATAAAATGGGCAGGAGTAGCAGTCTACATTTTCATGTTGTCCTACCAAATTTAAACTTCAGCACTTGAGAGAGAGAGAGTGCAGTTCTGGGGACTAAAATGGATAGGCAGAATCTGAACCACCAGTCTTTGCCCTCCCTTTTTAGACTACCAGCAGGGATGCCGGTTGAGGCTGTCAAACCTGAATAACTTTTCCACTGGAAACTGAACTGGCACTAGCAACTCATTTTGCACAAACCACCAAAATGCCACTAGGTGGCAGTAAACAAATAGTAACCTAGGCTGAAAGACTGTACATGATTTAAGCCTACCTAGTGCTGTTTACAGTTTACGTCTTTTCACAGCATTTCATTGAGTGAGCCTGGGCTCACAAAAGTTTGTTATATATACACTATATATAAAAGTCTGTTGAATACGTAACTCTTCCCTGTGTGTGTGTGTGCATGTGTAAAATCTGAGTTAGTTTATAAGGTACAAATCTACCCTGCCTTATTCTGAAAACGCCATATTTAATTCTTAATTTGGTATAGATTCCCTCATTTGGCAATGCAGTGTGGTCCTGACCCAAAGTACATAGAAGAACATGGAAGCCCCTCCAATGACTTGAGGGAGATTTGGGGTCATGCCCTTTGACTAGTGGTTTGCAAAATTGATTCTGTACAAGACACCTGGGTTTTGAGGCCTGTTCTCATTCCTTTACAAAAGTCTTCTTCGAAATCCTGTTACCAGAAGTTTAAAAAAAAGGCAACGTCAGACCAATTCTTTTTCATTTCCTGTTTCACAGTGAACAGGAAACAACAGTGAAGCTATAGACTTCTAGGACCTCGATCTATGCCTGGCAAACTTAGAAAAGCATTTACAAGTGTGTGGCTGGGGTGCTGCGGGCCGGAAGAGCGGAGGAGAACGGGACAATTCAGTTAACTTTTAGATTTCACTTCATGAATAGTCACCTTACATTGCTAGTTTATATAACTCATGTAAGTAAAGAACAAATCTTAGTGTTAGTAACTAACATTTCTTGAACATGTATATAGTTTAACAGCTGTAAAAAATTAGATGCATGTTCTTAGATCGTAATTTATTTGATCTTTCTGATGCATCATAAATCAGAAGATTGTCCATATTCAAATGTCTGCTTAAACTAGTCTAAGTTAACAGGCTTGCATCACGCCACTTTTACTGCATGATCTTTTTTCCCCCCACAGAACACCCATCATAACTGTTTAGTTGTGGTAACAGTGATGTTACTATGTTTTAATATATTTAAGAAAAGATAAAATGATGTTATTTCAGAACTCTGTCACTTCTGAAAAATATAATGTGAAAGTACAACCTGCCAAAATTGTTAAACTGCTTTTCGTATCTTGGATAAACTGACGAGTCAATACATTGTCCCACCTTAAAAAAAAAAAAAAAAAAAAAAAAAAAAAAAAAAAAAAAAAAAAAA